CAGATAGTGCCAATTGTTAAGTGCTAAGCTACGAACCTAAAGGTTGACAGTTCAAATCCACCTGCAGGAGTATTAGAAGAGTAGTTTGGCTATTTCCAAAAGTCACTGCAAATCCTATGGTTCACAATTCTATGCTAACACACACAGGGTTGCCATGAATGGAAACGTATTCACTGGTGACAGTCTTTATGGCTGACCACGGGATACATATTAAATATGCCACAGACTACTGAAATAATATATGATTCCGTCTCTGAAGAAGCAAAGCCACATGCTTTTTAGAAGTGAAGATGGGGAGACTTAATTGCACATACTTTAGACATGTCATCTGGAGGGGCCAGTCCCAGGGAAGGACGTCATGTTGGGAAAGTAAAGACTCCATGATAAAGGAGACCCTCGATGTGATGAAAGGACACAGAGACTGTGAGGACAGCCAGGCCCAGGCCATGGTTTCTGGGAGGACAGTTAGGCCCAAGCTGTGGCATCTGGGAGGATGGCCAGGCCCATGCCATGGTTTCTGTGATGATGACCAGGGTGAATCCTGTGTCTACAAGATGTGCCGTGAGACTGAGCCAACTCCACAGTGTCTATCGATAACAACAGGATGCAGAGGGGAGACAAAAGTGAACAACCGTCGCCTTCATGAAGGTTGTGGAGGGCTGGTGCTGGAAAATGTGCTGCGTCTTCAGGTGAAATCTCTATCATCACGGACCCATGGTCAAGGCAGGAGAAGAAATGGGAGCTGCAGGTGCTCTCATAATGGGGTCCTGGAGGCTGGAGTGCGGTAAAGCCCAGGCACCATTAGCACAGGTGAGGCACGATGCACAGAATCAGGGTGACCACACTGTACACAGCCGTCATGCTCTGCCATGTCTATCACACATGAACAGAGACCACATGCAAAACTACACCTCTGGTTGATGGGAACAGCAGCCACAAATAAAAGGAAGCAACACAAATGGGAACAGTCATGGTTAAGTCACACTTTCTATTTGCAAAAGGAATGGAGCCTGGAAGATTTCAGGGAGGAGGAGTACTGACAGTTAAAATGCTATTACCATCATCGTTTCTGATCAGGAAACGGGCTAGAGGACAATGTCTGGCTCTAGGCCCATGCTGGCCACACCAAGGATCACTCCAGAGAGCAAGTAACGCATGAAAACACCGGATAAATGCTTCTACAAAACGGCAGCAGTGCAAGACTGGAAACAACCTAAGCATGGGCTGGACACAGTGTCCAACATGCATGTTCACCTGGAACTTGTCAACATGATTTTACTGGGAAGGAAAGGTCTTCGCAGACATCATCAAGTTAAGGGACCTTCTAAGGAGAGGGAAATGTGGACACACTGAGACTTAGACAATCACCGACATGGAATTGGAGTGATGCATCTAAAAGCCAAGGAGCACAGGACACCAGGAAGTTGAGAGAGGCAAGAAGGATATTCCCATCCACCAGACGCTCTGCCGGAGAAGGAGGCGCAATATCCTCCTGTACCAGTCAGATCTGATTTGACGGTACATGCACACAAAATAATAAAAAAAAAAAAAAAAGAAGGATACTCCCTGAAGACTCCAGGAGAAGAGTTAAGCCACCCAGTTTGCAGTAGTTTGCTATAGCATTCCTAGGAGACCACAGACCTCAAGAGCAGAACCCTTAACTGATAACTGAACCCCTTGGGTGACATCCCACCAAAGGTGGCATTATGGGAAAGTGAACGCTGTCCATAATGGCGAATTCACCATGTACCTTCACAATCTACTGCTATACCGATCAGGACACTGACTCAGGGGCTATAAGCAACAGTAATGAATGTTTATTTAGAACATAAGGCATGGATTATATATTTCACAATATTATATATTATGTTTATATTATTATATATTTTATGCCATGGCTGAAGAGTTCAAACTCAACCCACTGGAAGATGAGGCAGTTGTTGACATGAGAACATCAGGGAAGGCCAATTCTTAGACTCATAGTAAAAGTTCAGTGCCACTACCTCCCCTTTGGTCCTCCTGCGTTTTTTTTGGAGTGAACCCTTCCTTCTTGATGGCTCCTCTGGGGAAAGGGTACTCATGAAAGGAAACACAACACTGAAAATCCACATGAAAAAGGTCCATCCTTTTACATGCTCTGAGCTTCTGTCACGTGGCTTTAGTGACCCAGAAGACATCTACCAACTTTCCTTGGTGGTCATGTGGGGGTTAGAAGAGTCTACCTAGATTTATCTAGAATTCTCTATATAGGTCTTCTCTGGGAAGGCCTCTGGCCTGCTTTTTTACCCACTCTACATTCAATATGCAACAGAACTTTTGGGGATATGGGAATAAAGACAGCATAACCAAGTTTTAGGTTGATTTGAATCTATCAGAGCTTATAAGGTATCAAAATTAATACTGTCTTGAAAACAAATGTTTGACTAGGCATTAAATGTTCTGTCCGCCTGATTCAGAAGTTGTTATTATATGTCGTTGAGATGCCTGCGACTCATAGTGACCCTATGGACAACATCTCTGAAGCCTGCCCTATCCTGAACCTTTCTCAATGACTCAGACACACCTACTACCCTCATTGTCTCAGTTACTGTATCAATCCATCTCATCCTGGATCTCCACTGTACCTCCACCCTTCTGAGCATAATGTCCTTCTCCAAGGACTGGTCCCTCCTGGCCATGTGTCAGTATGTGAGACAGAGCTTCAAAATCCTAGCCTCCAAGGAGAAACTTGGTTTCACCATATGATGCATTACAGCCATAAGTTGTACCTACAAAATATATGCAAAGCAAAGTGGAATTCTCTCTCTCTTTTTTTTTTGTACAAACAGGTTCATAAAAGTTGTATCACCCAATAGATAATATTGTTCAGCTTGATGCATTGCAATTCCAAAGGCCACGGTTAAATACGCCAGCTCCTCCAAGGGAGAAGGATGGGCAATCTCCTTGTCTGCATTTACTGCCTCTGAAAACTGGCTGGAGGCTCAGCTATGGGTGAGCTCTGACTTAATGACACTAAACATCAAGTTGATTAAGGAAGCAGAATTAGAGGCAGCTGTGGAATGACTGTCATCCACCAGTGTGATCTGAGATTTAACCAGCTCATCAATTGTGTAGGGATTAGAGTGGGACGCCACAGGGGAGCCTCCCTGGGGCGTGTATCACCTTTCCTCTCACAGAGGTAAAAAGAGAAATGAGAGCAGAGAAGGAGCTAGGGGTGGTACATGTCCCTTGGACACAGGCCTCTGCACTGGGAAGCACCTTTACATGGACCATTGAGCTACATGGAGATCTCAACAGACTACCTGGCCTGCAGACTTCTTCCAGAATGGCACAGATAGAAAGCCCTTCCCAGAGCTGGCACCCTGAATTTGGACTTCTAGTCTCCTAATCAGTAAGGTCAGATCCATCAGTTGTGGTATTCGTGTTCCAGCAACACTAAGTAACTAAGACAGAACTCTTCATAGTCAACGAATCACGGGGGATAGTGCTGACGCTCAGAGAAATGAAGCACATTTCACACCGTGGCAAAGAGTGACGTACAGATGACTGATAAGCTAGCTCTGTCCCTCTGAAGACACAGCACTTGGAGTCACCTTCTAGCCCTTTAGCAAACAAGCCCACGAGCAGCTTATGGCAGCCCAAGTACTGCCTCTAAGGCTTTGTCCAAGCCCCGGGCAGCCCTCCCTTGCAGCCAGGCCAGTGTTACCTGGGTCAGCAATGAACTCTGGAAACCCTCGATGAACGGCGACACTGCCCATTTGTTTTCATTGATTTTGCAATTTTCGATAAATTGCGTTTATCCTTTTTTGTGGTTCTGTTTATGTATTGTGGCTAGAAATGCTTAATTCACTCCTGTTACTCACATACTTATTACAGTTTCATAAAAGGCCAAATGAAAAGATCGCCAGCTTGCAGATACGTCTGTCCTCCAAACAAACTTAAAATGCAAATGATCTAATATGTTAGCATTTTTGTTTGTGACACAAGACTTAACAAGACATTTTTGATTAGTGCAAATGCATACAGAGAGAAATCAAGGCATTTCATCTTAGTCCAGTAAGAACGTGTGAGAACTTTTAGGGAAGATTGGAGGTTTTAGGAAGATAAGCTTGTGTGTGTGTTTGTGTGTGTGTGTGTACACACACACACACACTTGTGTACAAAGATGTGTTGTTCGGGGGGAGCGAAGACAGTGTTGCAAAGTCATCACGAGCCTCCAAAGAAAAAGACAATATGGCAGCCGCAAAACAACGGAAGGTGTGATGAAGGAAGTGGGTTCAGTGCGTGTCATTTCTACTTCTCTATTTTAACGAGAAACAGTTAACATTTTCCAAGTGACAGCATAGTTGCCATACAAATTCATTCCCTCTCTCCCCGGAAATAACTTCCCCCTCCTCAGAAGTGTTTCCTCTTTTCATGTCATTTCTAGCACTGTCTTGACTTTCTCCTTTATACCAACCTCCCATAATTAGGGTTTGAGGCGAGCCAGGAATTGTGCCAGCGGGTGGAAGAACCAACCTGCATAACCACCACAGCCCTTGCTCTCACGAAATGCATACTCACGACCAGACTTGATCACCACATGGAATTTTCCATGATGAGAATCAAGTTGTCACCAGCCACACTTGGTCCCTGAACACTTTAACTGTGAACACTGACGCTAAGGGTCTGATCTGCATTTGCCTCTGCCCCCTTTTTTCTGGAAGAAAGGTCAAGAATAGCAGTAGAAACTAGAATCACAAAATTCTACAGAATAAATGAGGAAGGAGAAGCCTCGGGTGGAACGGATGCAAGTCACTTCAACGACGCAGCCTTTGTAGCCTTTGCTCTTTGGCCCTCACACACTATGCTATCTCCCCTCTGGCTTTCCCCTCTCAGCCACACACAAATATCTCCATCTTTACAACATAAAACATCCTTGAATCAAGACCCGGGTCTTCTGTTATGTGCGAACAACATTCTATTCCCGCGCCAGAGAAAAAGCCTTGCTTCCAGCTCACCTCCCGGTCCAGCAGTGCAGGTGACACGACGGTGACAATGTCTCCTTTCTCGGGATCGATGTAGAACATGTTGGGAGACGGCTTGTCAGGCGTCTGCTGACGGATATTGTACCGCAGGAGGGCATTGTCGGTGGCAGGGTCATCCGCGTCGAAGGCTGTCATCCGCATCACCGTGGTCCCTGTGGGGGCAGGACAGAGGGCAGGAGATGGTTACCAGTCACCGAGGGGGGGACACTGATGGTCAGGACCGCCCCCCTGGCAGGCAGTGACAGTGAAGGAACATGCTAGGCACTTTCCAAATTAAAGGGGGCCCTGTCTCCCTGGCTGTGCTGTGGTTTAGCTTTTGTCCTGCCACTCCATCAGCTAAGACCTGCAAGAAAGGAGAGAAATCTTTGCTACTCAGCAGAGTGACAGCTTAATTTTTCCTTGTGCTGATACACTGTTTATTTTCACGAGATTTCCCTCCAGGGTGGATTGGCTTTGTGACAATGACCACATTCACTTCAACAGTGTTTACTGGGCATCCACTAGGTGTAGGGTCTCGGGCCGGGTGTTGTTGAAAGCAAGCTGCAAAAAGGCATGTTGATGCTTTCTGCTAGTGAAGAGGTTAGGAAGAGAGCTGAATGAATGGATCTATCTGTCTGTCCATACTACCTGTCTACCTCTATCTAAAATGCATATAACATTAAAATATCACATATAAAATAGATACATTAATCTTCAGCAAAATTGAGAAAACAAAGTAAGAACCACTTTATGCATCAAAGAATTGTATCATGAAAGTGAAGATGAGGCAGCAAGTAGAAATTGGGGGCCCCAGCTCAAGGGAAAGGCTCTCTCTGCCTGGCCTCCGCTCCCCTAATGTCCTCAGCATCTCTTGGAGAGCTCTCTGTGGCGTCCACCTCTCCTCCCCTGATGCTCACCTGCTTCTGTATCTTATCTGCTCCTCTCACTCTCCAGAGTGAGTGGGATTACTCATGTAGGCTTGTTGTGTGATGGCTAGATCAGTAAACAGGTCCAGACTGTGGCCACAGAGAGCCTGGGATCGCTGGTGCCCAGGTGAACCCAAGAAGAGGCCCAATCTACCGGCTCTCCATAGATTCTGACCTATAGGTAGGTGCCCTCCTCTGGGTTTCTCGGACTGTAAAGCCTTACGGGAGGGGATCACTCATCTTCCTGCTCAGGAGCGGCCGGTGGACTGGAACTGCTGACCTTTCAGCTATGAACCATGCCATCAGTGTTCAAAGAAGAGTCCTGAGGCAGGAATAAACCCGTTTCTGCCCTTCTTCACTTCATGTCCTTTTGCTCTCTCTCTCTCCCAAACCGGCCCTAAATTTGTAGGTTTCTTGCTTTAGCTCTCTCTTTATACATGACTGAATTTCTCTAGGCTTATTAAGTTTTAGTAGTCTTTGCAAATAGCCAAGCTTTAGAATTTTTTTAACAATAAAAAGGCTATACCATCCAAGAAAAAAAACCACACAACACACTATATATCCTTAACATATGTGACTAAATAGTTTAAGACACATCTGTAAGCACCCTCATTCATCTAGCATAGAAAACCCTATTACCAAATGGGTTACTTGTATGGGAAGAGGAGGCAGGATTTACAACATGCATTTTGGGGGACATAATTCCATCATCAGGAACTCTTACTGAAGCCCTCATGCTGCATCCTGAGAAGGCCTCCTTCACATCCCTCAGCTCACCCACCTGACTTCATGCTCGTCAGGGCTGTGTGCACCCCTGAGAAAGGCCTCCTTCACGTCCAGCAGCTCACCCGCCTCCCTGCACGCTCGTCAGGGCTGTGTGCACCCCTGAGAAAGCTACATTGCTGCTGGCTGTGAGTCCCCACACAGTACATTTCTATCTTCTCTTGATTCTAATCACCCTACCACTCCCAAAGCCAGATGAAATAGTAAAACAAAAGAAATACAGGTTGCATTGAGAATACCTCTCTCTCGTTGGCGAAGGCTGTCAACCAACAGTTAAGATTGTCATGCTGCGGTCAGATAGCCCTCCTCTCAGTGTTATCTCTCAGACTGAAGGCTGACCTCTGCTGTGATGATATTGTTAGGAGGCCTGGAGTTGTGTCCCACTTACAGTGACCCTGTGTACAGGAGGACATACAGTCTGGCTCTGCACCACCCTCACCGTCTAGGCTGTCTTTACATCGACTGTTGGAGCCACTGTACCAGTCCATCTCACCTTCAATGACCCTCTGCTCTACCCAGCATAATGTCCTTCACTAGGGACTGGTCCCTTTTGATGGCCTGCCTAACATAGGTGAAACCAAGTCTCATTTCTAAGGAACATTTGGGCCACATTTATCCAATACTTTGGCCGGCACCACTATTCAAAGGCATCCTCAATTCTTCTTTGATCTTCCTTATTCACTGTTCAACTTTCACACGCATATGAAGCAACTGAAAGCATCAAGGAGTAGACATCTACTGTAGTGACTTTGAATCTGCTGTTTGCTTGATGTTCTGCTTCTCTGCAGCTTCAGCACAAGGGACCCTTGAGAAGCAGAGGGCAGATGTGATGATAAAGGGGGGTGGTCCTTTCACCAGTCATGGGAGGCCACTCAGATTGCAGATGGGACTTTCAAGAGATGGCTCACTCTACTATTTGGGCAAAACCACTATTCTGTTGAGATTTCTTTTCTTCGAGGTCATTCTCATACAGTTCCCCTGCGTCAGGTCTTTATTCTCATTGGTAACTAATATACTGAGACGATGATGTTTGTGCATGTCTGGAGTCAGAGGACTCATAACATTTGGGGTCTCCCTGAGTTTAAATGAAGATGTCAAAGACCTTTAGCATTTCTCTTTCTTTACAGCAGCCCAGACCCATAGAGCCTGATGATATGGGACCAGCCCAGGGGTGACAAGCTCAAAAGCTTATATAATTTAAAAAAAATTATCATGCTTTTATTGAATGTTTATAGACAACTTGGATTTCCATCCATTCGTGTTGCACATTTTCCTCCCTCACCTCCCCATTTTTTTGTTGGTTTTTTAGAAGATTCATTCATTGAGTTGATCCAAGATGGCGGTGGAGGGAGAGACAGCGTGGTGAGCTACGGGAGCAGCGAACCACTTAAAGCAGGGCCATTATGGCCTTCCACAGACTTTGGCTTATTGATAATTGAACACTTAAACAGTTAATGACTGGCCCTCAGTGAAGACTGAGGCTCAACAACAGGAATTCAAGGATTCCCAAGGAGAAATGGGTGAGTCTTGTGGCTCTCCTCCCCCCCCCAACCCCGCAGAGCGCGCACCGCGCCACACAGCTGCTGCTGCTCCATGAGGCTTCCACAGCTGGAACGAATGGATTCCCTCACCCAGGATGGATGCCGGGCACTGGTCCTCCTCAAGACTGGTACAGTGAAGCCACCACACTGTGGCAAGGTGGACTTGGTCTGGAGAGAATTCTTGGAGCCAGGATGGCGGCTGTGGGGGAAGCGGGCGCCGGCCAGCTGCCCACACAAGAGGGTCCATGCAGCCGCCGAGTGCCCGAGCGGTGGCGTGGAGGGGCGTGCCCCTAAAGGCCGCCCACGCTGGGGGGGCCGTGCACCTCCTGCAGGCCTCCAGCGCTGGAGGGGGGGCATGCACCACGCTGGCCACCTGTATAGGAGTTGGGGGATGGGATGCATGCCTGCCATCTGCAGGTTTGGGTTTCCTTGGACAGGCCAAAGAAGACGATTGCCTATGCAATGGATTGCTGAAAGTCACTGTGAGTCTGATGATCTTAACAGTGGCAGCATGCACAAGAGGACCCACATCCTAAATGCACCACATATTTTGTTCTGTTGAATGCTTCTGCCAAAAGATGGTTAGACCTGGGGGGAGTCTGTTCACAATTCTCAGTTTCCCTTTATCATATATAAAGGGGGAGGGCAGTGACACCTACTTCAAAATATAGTATGACCACTTATGGGGGGGGGTAAAGGTGGCAGTGCTGGAATTGGAAACACTATCCCTGACCACAGAGTTCTCAGTTAGGCGAGGGGACCAGACTGGGGTGGAGCAATTGGAGGGAGAGTATACCAGCCAGCTCCTGGAGGGTGTTGCCCTGCCTGGGGCAGGCTGCTCTTGGCCCCCGGCTCAGGGCGAGCCGTCGCGACCCTCTGCCCGGGGCAGGCTGCCCTTGGCCCCCGGCTTGCAGCCCTCAGGGTGAGCTCCTCAATCCCCCAGATTGTGCCATCTGACCCCTGGGTGCGGAAGGAGAAAAAAGAAAAAGAAAAAAAGAATGCCTAGGGTATCCAATGTTACCTAGGCCACCTTCTGCCACCTCCCCCCCCCCCAGTAAACCTGAAAGGAAGACCCTCAAAGCCCTTCTATTTGTAACTCACAAGTTTGTTCTCTCTAGGTTTGCTCCCTTTCCTATAGGTTACCTTAACTCTGAGTTTTACTCCAGAATTGACCCTGAACCCAGTGCCAGTGACAAAAAGGAAATACAACTGACAGCTAAGGAAGCAAAGGAGGATGGAGCCTCTGGGTTCAACCAGCCATCCCCACTGGACCCACCTGGGAAAACACTTTGCAGTCCAGAGGGGAGCAAATGACAGGAAAATATCTTCTAACAGAGCAAGAAGGCAAGCAGCTGTAACCCAAGACCACTAGTAAGGTGATAAAGCGTCCTCCCTTCCCCCCTTTACATCTATGCCCCTGTTCAGCATGAAGAAGCCAGAGAGTCGGCATCCAATTCCCAAATCATTAAGACAGTTGGTTTAATTACTATTGGAAAATGCTTGTCATTCCTCTGTAGCATCTGGTCCGCACTGGACCCTCATCATTTCCTTCACCTGCTCCCCCCACCGACATAACTGTGCAGCTCTGCAACTGCATCCTGGCCCATCCTCACCCTTCTGCCCCCAACCCTCACCTCCTTGTACCCCCAATATGTTTTTCCCAATTAAAAAAAAAGATTCATTCATTGTTGCATAATAAGCTGATATAATGTACATGATCAAAGTGGTCTGAGGACAGCTGGGCATGGTGAGGACTGCGATACACTGCAGAGTGTATTTAAAGCTGCGTTCTCCATCACAGTGCCTTACGTGCAGGCTGCTAACTGATACACTGGTGAACTCATCAGCCCCAACAGGAGCAACACATGGAGTCATCTCCTCTCAGCGAGTTTCCACCTCCGAGACTTGCTGGCCGGTCATCAT